AGGTTGGGAGACGAGGAGGTGGCGAAGATGATCGAGAGGAATTATGAGGAGTGGGATGTCCATGGGAAGTGGGGGGAGGTTGAGGAGGGGGAGGAGGAGATGGGGGTTATAGGTGTTCGATGAAATGCCCAAGTGAGTTTCTTTTTTAGCTTTTCTGCAGTGGGGTTATCTTTTTGAGTTTGTTATATTTACTAGTTGATTGATTTACGGTGTTTTTGGTTCCTGTAATTGCAAAAAGATGTCGCATCTCCATCATGTAGAAGAGTGTTTGCTCCACTCCTAACTCAACGGTTGTAACTGTAGTTGCATGCAACTGCCACGTTCCGAGTTATTGTAATTGCAAAAAATATCTCATCTGCAATAACCAGAGCACTATTTCGTTAGCTACAAGCCTATAATGGCAAGTATCGTAATTGCAGTTGCATGCGGCTGGTACATTTAGGGGCACTTGCTGCTATGTATTCTGCTACAACTGCAATATTATCACAAAAGGACACTTGTTTGCATTAGACTTGGGTGTAAATCCCACTCACATCCCTTTGGAGTGGCAAACCGGGTCTAAATTATAACTATAACACTACAAAGTAGAGCTAAACTAAAACATTGTGAGATTAGCAACTACAACTACATGTGATAGTAGCTACAATTGCAGATGCATGCTACAATCATTTGCATTACGATCATAGTTGTGACGAACCAAACAATCTCATATTGCTCAAATTACATGAGTTAGAGGTGCAATCCAGTGTTCGGATAGCATTCTCATGATTGATTATTAAAAATTATTTAATCCATAATATCAATTTTTTAATCTTGAACAATAATAAAACTGGTCAAAATATGATCAATATGACACAATTGCTGATGTGGATGCTACTAGAAACACAATTTAGTAAAGTAGTTTGTAGTTTGACTCATTGGAAAAGTAGTATTGATTCTTTTAATAGGGGTGGCGATATTGGTTGCTTCAATTATGACTACGTAACCAATATTGAAAAGGAAGCATCTCATATTACGGAGAGGGTTGTGCAAATGGAATGTTAGTATTTCATAAATTTAATCCTTTTCATTTTATACAGTATCATATATCTAACTAGCTTGCTACTTTATAGCATGTAGTTTTGATTGTGGAATTTTCGTTCCCTTATATAATCTATGGGGTTGATACGAATCAAGTAACTACTCCCGATGTTGATTCTGATGTCATCCGTGCCAGGCTAGCAGCTAAACTTCTAATAGAAGGATGACAACAGAAGAATCAAGCAGAGACATTTGATAAGGATGTGAGAAAGTTGTTCTAAAAATTATTTGGTTGAACCAAAACTTGTGTGCATGTCTGTATTGTGTATATTAGTTTAGTTGTGTAAACAGTTGATGTGAATGACAAACAATGCATCAAGCTTGACCTTTATTTTTCTTATTGTATTTTCTAGTATTTTTGCCACCATATGTTTACGTTTTGTTTTGATACAACATATATTTAACAGGTTCAAATGAAAAGCTACATGTTTACTTGAATGTCAACAGGAAAAGTCAATACTTAACATGTACATTTGACAAGTTAACATGTTCAGTTGTGTGTTATCATGTTATAAAGAAGGCTAACATGTAATAGTGAAAGTTAACATATTATGCTGAAAGTTAACATGTTCATAAGAAAGTTAACGTGTGCAGATGAAAGTTAACATGTATAGCTGATAGTTAACATGTTCACGTGAACGTTAGCATATAAGCCTGAACGTTAACATATACACCTGAAAGTTAACGTAGTCAAATGAAAGTTAACATGTTTAGCTGAAAGTTATCCAACTAAAAGTAGTTATAACACCAAGACATTTTATAGGAAATACAAACAGTATACCCTAGCTAAACAAGTACTTTATACAAAACTTCTTACATTCTTACAACTGATATTGCTTGAGTACACAATAGCATTTTCGTAGTAGCATATTATCATTTTAGTAGCAGCATATTATCACTTTCTTACATCTGAAAGTTAACATGTTCAGCTGAGAGTTATCGTCTTCAAATGAAAGTTAACATATGCATGTTAAAGTCAACATGTTTGAATGAAAGTTAACATATATAACAAAAAGTTAACTTTTTCAGCTGAGAGTTAACATGTTCAAGTGAAAGTTAATATGTTCATGTTGACGTTAACATGTTCGGCTAAAAATTAACATATACAGCAGAAGGTTAACATGTTTAGTTGAGAGTTAACGTTTTCAAGTGAAAGTTAACATGTTCAGTTGAGAATTACTTGCACTTATAAATGCGGGGTAAAACATCCTTTTAAGTGTTTTTTAATATCTCCATAGGTTAAAAAAATGAGAGTAGTTGTATTAAACTTTCTTCATAAATTATGTTAACTTTCATCATTATATGTTAACTCTCCTCATAACATGTTAACTTTCAGCTGAACATGTTAACTTTCATCATAATATGTTAACTTTCACTGTTACATGTTAACTTTCTTCATAACAATTTTTTTGAACTAAAGTTCGATGTGTTTGAAAGACTAAAAGTCCCTCAAGATGATCTATCATTGATATATAAATCTAAGAGGCACCCGAAATAGTGGTTGTATGGAGATTCATATGCAAACTGTTGTTAATATATAGAGTTTAATTTTTTTTTTAAATCAGAAAGTTCTAACTGAAATGTTAACATGTAAAAAATCAAAAAGTTCTAAGATTGTAAGTCTAATCATATCGTGTATTCAAGCAATATCAGTTGTAAGAATGTAAGAATTTTATTATGGTGAACGTTAACATATTATGATGAACGTTAATACGTTCAGTTAAAAGTTAACATGTTACGAAGAAAGTTAACATATTATGGTGAAAGTTAACATGTAATAGTGAAGGTTAACATATTATGATGAAAGTTAACATTTCAGCTGAAAGTTAACATGTTACAAAGAAAGTTAACATATTATGGTGAAAGTTAACATGTAATAGTGAATGTTAACATATTATGATGAAAGTTAACATGTTCAGCTAAAAGTTAACATGTTACGAAGAAAGTTAACATATTATGGTAAAAGTTAACATGTAAATACCTCCAATCCATACATGATAAAGCACCAAAAATTCATACATGATATCCACATTAAACATCTCCAATCCATTTTCTCCATTCACAAGTTCAAAATATAACAAGTATATAAAAACACATCCCCTTTGAAGCTAGCACATACACAAAATGCTTAAGCTATATGGTCGAACAACACTCACTACACACTCACTTGCCCCTTGGTGATGAGGGCCTTGTGGGCTAGCTCGGCGCTGGTGATGACGATGAGAATGCAAGAGCTCATGCGGATGGTGAATATTGAGTCGTAGAGGGCGCGGAGGTCCACGACTCATAGAAGTTGGTGGTCCACGACTCGATCATCTCGGGGATGTTGTGATTGTCCATCCAGTGCCAGAGGCCAATCCTCTCCGAGTACTTGTTAACCTCCGTGTGGGTTTTCAATCTAATGATCGCGTCCTTCCCTTCAATCCCAATCTTGTAGGAGACGAAGGAGACAAGGCCGGATGTATATACCATGCTTCCCTCAAAAGATGCACAAATTGTAATGGGCAAAGAAAAACACCTTTTACAAGGATATATATACCATGCTTCCCTCAAAACAAGGATATATAAATGCATATGCATTTAATCAAACTTACAAACCATTAAGTCTATTAACCCAAACAATTTGTGCGATAAAACACAGATTTCATTCTAATGTGTGAATTCTACTCAAATGAGCATATTGCATAAAAAATGTGTCATCGCCAAATAAAGAGAGAAAAAATAATTAAAATGCCAGGATAAAACAGAGACAAACCTAATTTGGCCAAGTTGAATCTCTCTCCCTGTTATGAACCTTGACAAAACCACAAAAAGCTACAAAGTATCAATAAGATCCCAAATTCCACATAAAATTCATTCAAGTATCCAAGATGCACAACTAAAAAAAATAAGAACAAAGAACAAAGAACAAATTGAATTGCGCATATGGGTCTTCATTCTTTCTGTGTCAAACTTCAAGTCTTCATTCAAAACTATCGTCTTATCACTGAAACCATGCCTTTATACAACAAAAAGCCCTAAAACCCCCCATATTTTACCTCGTTGATAACTACCTACCTGTGGCTGAGATCCAGAGGCGTAGGAGACGAAGTCGGAGAGGAGGAAGATAGGCAGGGAGAGCAGGTTGATCCGCTCGTGGAGGAGGAC